CCTCCCCGGGTGCACACGCTGTCCTCCCCGGGTGCACACACTGTCCTCTCCGGGTGCACACGCTGTCCTCCCCGGGTACACACGCTGCCCGCCCCGGGGTGCACACGCTGTCCTCCCCGGGGTACACACACTGTCCTCCCCGGGTGTACACGCTGTCCTCCCCGGGTGCACACACTGTCCTCTCCGGGTGCACACACTGTCCTCCCCGGGTGTACACACTGTCCTCCCCGGGGTACACACACTGTCCTCCCCGGGTGTACACGCTGTCCTCCCCGGGGTACACACACTGTCCTCCCCGGGTGTACACACTGTCCTCCCCGGGTGCACACGCTGTCCTCTCCGGGTGCACACACTGTCCTCCCCGGGTGCACACGCTGTCCTCCCCGGGTGCACACACTGTCCTCTCCGGGTGCACACGCTGTCCTCCCCGGGTACACACGCTGCCCGCCCCGGGGTGCACACGCTGTCCTCCCCGGGGTACACACACTGTCCTCCCCGGGTGTACACGCTGTCCTCCCCGGGTGCACACACTGTCCTCTCCGGGTGCACACACTGTCCTCCCCGGGTGTACACACTGTCCTCCCCGGGGTACACACACTGTCCTCCCCGGGTGTACACGCTGTCCTCCCCGGGGTACACACACTGTCCTCCCCGGGTGTACACACTGTCCTCCCCGGGTGCACACGCTGTCCTCTCCGGGTGCACACACTGTCCTCCCCGGGTGCACACGCTGTCCTCCCCGGGTGCACACACTGTCCTCCCCGGGTGCACACGCTGTCCTCTCCGGGTGCACACGCTGTCCTCCCCGGGTGCACACGCTGTCCTCCCCGGGTGCACACGCTGTCCTCTCCGGGTACACACACTGTCCTCTCTGGGTGCACACGCTGTCCTCCCCGGGTACACACACTGTCCTCCCCGGGTACACACACTGTCCTCCCCGGGTGTACACGCTGTCCTCTCCGGGTGCACACACTGCCCGACCTCAGATGCTCTCGGCCGCCACCCTGGCTCCACCCTGGCTCCCGGGGCAAAACCGGCAGAAAGCGCTAGGTCATTCTTCACGGGAAAGGCCTGTGAACCCTGCTACGGATGCAGCTCAGCTGGGCAGGGAGGCAGGGGCCCTCAGACCGAAGTCGGGATGGGGGACAAGATGTGGGGGCCACATCCTCCGTGTCCCTCACAGAGCACCCAGCCTTTGAGAGTCCCAGAGCTTGCCCACCAACCCCTCAAAGGCAACTGAGGCCCAGGGCGGGCTAACAGTCGGGATGCACTCCTAAGCACGCTGTGGAATGTTCCGGAAGTGAGAGGCAAGCCGGCGGCCGCCTCGGCCTGTGCCCACGCAGGGCAGCACGTGCTTCCGGCGTCAGCGTTCGTGAGAGGCAGCACTGAGCAGGATTTTCTCTCCATCAGTGAAGAATCTTCATCACTCAGCTTCGCTAAGTTGCTCACACCCTTGAGACAGACGGCACCTTCCCTGTGAGGGCCCCGGAATCTGGGTACCACAAAGTCTGCCTACCGCTGGCCCGAGACAGAACTGGAACGAAACCAAGGACACAGCAGAGACGCCGGCCTTCACGCGGCTGCCGCACAGACCCGCTGCAAACGAGAAGGCAAACAGAGCCCCCGCAGAAAAGCGAAAGCGACTGCAGCACACCCATCGCCGTGGTTCCAACGCCGCTGCCACGCGGCTCTTCAGACACCTGACGGGGCGACTGCCTCACGGAACCACTCGGCGGCGGCCCAGGCTGTCTCGGCACGTACACACCTCGGCGCCCTGCCAGCCTGGTTCTCGGAGAGGCCCGGGACCACAGAGCCTAGGTGCCCTGGTCGTGGTGACGACTCCCGGTACAGAGTGGCACGTGAGCTGGCTTTTCCAGCGTCCGTGTCTTGCTTTGTGTTCTGCACCTGTGTTTCGCCAGGATGGGAGACCTGGTACCCAAAGCAGTGGCGATCCACGGGAAACGTGTCGAGGGCTCCTTCCTGACACACAAGGCCGCAGGATGACTGAGCAGCCGTAGCTGGTGGGGCACGTGCACTGCCTGGCAGCGTCTGGACCCGTCCGATGTGGCTCAGTCCCTGAGGTCGGAGATGCAGATTCCAGCGCCCGGGAGCCCTGCCTGGCGGGGCCTCCTCACACGGTCCCATGCTTCCCTGTCACCACCACACGGGGCCCGGAGCTGCTGCTGAACGTGGCTGGTGCCAGCAGGGTGTGCTGGGGTCTCCTCTGTGAACACCAGACCAGCAGTGGCACGGACGCAGTCCTGGGCAGCTCGGGACGACGTTCCTGAAGTGTGAGGCGACGCAGGGACCCCGCCTGCCCCCATGACCCTGGCGCGGACGCCCGAGGGCCCTGAAGGCCACCTTCCCCCAGGCCCGCCCAAACATCCCTCTCCTCTCAGCGCAGACTGTAAAACCTAAAGGCAGGCGTGAAGACGGGGCCATCGGGGCCACCTTGGGTAGGGGTGTGGGCAACGTACCCAGGACTGAGGCCACAGGCCCGGGGGGTGCGTGAGGGCCGCCCCAGCGCCACCCTGATGCTCTGTCAACCCTTGAGCCAGGGAGGAGGGAGGGGCGTGGCCTCCCACAGCACAAGCTCTGCCCAGCATTAGGGACAAGGGGTGGACTCCTGGAAGCAGACACAACGCCTGACCACTTAGAAGCCGACATGGTGAAAATCCTAACCACTGAATATTGCAAAGAACTTTATCTTTTCACAAAAATAAGCTTTTGGGTTGTGAAACTTTTTGATGCAGGTTTTATTGGGACCTGCAATTTAAGACAATATATCAAGAAGTAACAATAAAAAACATAAGATGCCACATCGCTAGCAATGATTCAGGAAGGGACTTACCGAAGTACTCGTTGAGAAAGGCCAGGGAGGCCACGTAGCAGCCCAGGCTGAGGAGCTCGGCCACGACCATGAGCCAGTGCCACGTCCTGACGGTCAGCGCCACCATCAGCAGCTCGGTCAGGATCAGCGCCGTGAAGGAGATGGCCACCACGTGGACGAACTCGGACTCGAAGAGGACCAGCGCCCCGTACATGAGGATGGCACCTGGGACACGGCAAGGCAGGGCACGAGGCCGCATCAGGACAACCCACACGTGCCCCAGAGCGGCCACCCACTGACGGCCACAGGGTCAAATGTCTGTGCTGCCCACGCCCCGTGTCAGAGTGGAGTGAGTCCCAGCTCTGCTCCTGACCCAGCCTCCCGCCAATGCACACCCTGGGAGGCAGCACTGGCGGCCAAGTCCTTGGGTCCCGGCCACCCGCGTGGGAGACCTGGGCGGAGGTCCTGGCTCCCAGCGCTCTCGGGTTCAGTCCCGGATGCCGCGGGAGGAACGCCCTTCCTGTCTCCGCCTCCCACACACCAAGGCCGAGGACGGGGTCGGGCACACCTCGTCCTCACGCTGAGGAGCGACTTCTTTAAACTCTGGGTTGCGGACAGAGTAAGACGTGGCTCTGGTCAGACCACTCAGGGCACAGAGAGGCCTCTGCAGCCTAGCACCACACGGCGCGGCCACCGGCCAGCGGGACCCTCAGCCTCTCTCCCTGCTCCGGGGCGCTGGGCACCCACAGGCTGCTGACTTCTCAGGACAGAATTCCGACTTCAAATCTTGGAAGAAAACCATCGTGCAGGGAGTTCCACTGGGATAAATGCTCATTAAAGCTATTCTGAATTAACTCTTAACTAGTTTTTAAGTGACACACAGCATGGTTTCCTGTGCAATGACAATCCTGTTTCTGAGGGTGATGTGGGAGGGGCAGACTGAGGGACCTGGGTCCTTGGTCTCACGTCTGACCACACTCCCAGGCACTGGGGTCAGCCACGTTGCTGGAACGTTGATTGCAGACAAACAGGAAGCAATGTTTGCCCCAGGAAGCAGTCTGCAGCTGCTGACGCTGCCCTGGGCGTGGAGCACCCGGCTCCCGGGCCGGCTCACCTTGGTAGATGCTGATGAGAACCCAGATGAGGAAGGTCTTGAAAGACAGGGCTCTTCCCTAGGACACACAGAGGAGTTGGGTCAGCGCAGAGAGCAACAGGCCCGGCACGCGTGCGCTCGAACTGTTGCAGGCCCCAGGCGCCCAGGCCCCGCCCCTCCGAGCTGCTGCCTGCCTGGCCGGTGGGAGCAAGCGAGGGGCGTGGCGGGCTCTCCCTCTGGTCCCTGGTTTCTTAGTGACTGAGAGCTGACGTCAGGCACCTATAGGAACCAGGGGACAGACGACTTTCCCTAACTCGTTTATCTCGTGGGAACAAATACTCCTATATGTATTTTAGTTTCTTTAGTTGAAAAAAACAGAAAAGGAAAAAGCTCTTCCGTAAGAAAAAGTCCCAAAGTACAAATTTACATCCTTTAAATCCCTGCCGGGAACGACGCTCGGTTAGTACCCCCTCCCCCAGCCCCCGCACGGTTTCCTGTGCGATGACATCCCTGTTTCTGAGGGTGATATGGGAGGGGCAGAGACGGGGTCATGGGCTCTTGGTCTCTCGTCTGACCACACTCCCAGGCACTGGGGTCAGCCACGGGCTCCCTGAGGGCGATGCGTGTGGGAAGTCGCGCTCGTGGGGGCGTGGGACACGCTCAGGTTTCTTGGCACCCGCCCATCTGTTCTCTCAGCCGCGCAGCCCCGTGTAGGCCTGGCGATGCCGCAGGCTCCTGCCGCAGGACAGGCGTCCAGAGCTCCTGTAGGGACCGTGGGCTCGCACTCGGCCTCAGGACAGGGGCACGGCGCCCAGCAGTCTGGATGGGCCCTGGCTGTCTGAGGAGGACCTGCCAAGACAGACCGCGCCATCCTAACAGCAGACGCCAGTGCGACGGGAGCCGTGCCGGAGCCCTGGCAGAGACGGCGCCACGGGAGCCGCCTGGTGCTCTCCTCGCTGTCGGCACCGCCTGCGCCCACTGCACGAGCGTGGGCAGGAAGCTCAGCACCCCAAGGCTTATGGAGACGCAGGTTCTAAGTTTTTGGTACCTATCTCCCGAGTCCGTTTCTCTGGCCTCCCCGTAGGTGAGTTCGTGCCTTTTTTATCGAAGGACTGGAAACACAGGACATGCTTTGAGTTTTGGGAGGACGAGGCTCCCTCTGGCGGGGTGCGCGGATCACCAGCCCGCAGGAGGAGCGTGGGGCGCTGGCGCCCCTCCCTCACCTGGTCACGTGAGCAAGCCCCTGCTCCTCAACCTGGACTCTCACAGGCACCGCATTCCCGGAAGCAGCCGACGTCCCACGCCTTGTGTGTGCTAACTCGCTCTGCCAGGGCCCACGCACCTTTCCCTTGGTTTTCCGTGGAGGCAGGTGTCACTGATTGACAGACCTGATCACTCACTCTTTGATGCAGTAAACACTGATTCAACAGGGACCTCTGCCCAGGCGTGGCGTGTGCACAGCAGGGCTGCCTGGGGTCACGCCAGCCGCCACACCCCTCCTCCGCGTCTCCACGCTCCTAATGAACCCGGCTGACTCAGGTCCCACTTCTGGGAACCAGAAAGGAGAACGGTGCGCACTTCGCAGATTTCAGTACTTGGAAACGTGTACTTGGTACACGTCTGAACAGGATCCAGTCGGGACTGCGGGCGGTGAGCAATGTGAGTCCTGCTGAAGTGGACGTGACAGGTGGGTCCCGGGGAGACCGCTGATGCTGTCCAAGGCCCAGGGGGACGGGGACCCAAGGACACCAGCACTCCCCAAGTGCACACTTGTGTGGAGGAGGGGTGGGTTGTGGTGGAATGAGAAGGCCATGCCAAGACGGCTGGAGTGGTGGGGCAGCGCGTTAAGCCGCTGTTTGTGATGCCGGCATCCCGAGGGTGCTGGTTCTAGTCATGGCCGCTCCCTTCCAATCCAGCTCCCTGCTAACGTGCCTGGGGAGGCAGCAGTTGGACCAAATACTTGGGCCACTGCCACTCATGTGGGAGATCTGGAAGGAGCTCCTGGCTCTGGCTTGGGCCTGGCCGGCGCTGGCTGTCGTGACCATCTGAGGAGTGAGTCTGGGAGAGCTCTCCTCCTTTCAGACAGTAAACCTTTAGAAGTAAGAATCGTGAGAGGATGTGGAAGATCAAACCCCATCAGTTCTGAGGGACAAATCAAGCTTGTGTGTGCTGACCAGGGGGACGGATGCCAGCGGCAGACGACAGCCGACCCCACGGGCAGCTCAGCCGGCTCAGCACACACAGTTCTGAGGGCACGGAAATCAAAGCGGAGCACACTCTGCTCTGTGGGTGCGTTCACACTGTCACAGCTTCAGGGAGGGCGCAGTCATCCGCGGGGACGCAGGGAAGTGTCTTGGGAGAACAGGAACAAAAGATGGAGCAGGGTTTCCCCAGTACCACCCCAAAGACCAGGCACCATCCACGCAAAGGGGGTGTGGTCCAGGCACAGCTGGGACGCTGGCGGGCTGTGGGAGCCAAAGACCACAACATGCGCCTATCAGAACGTTTCCAGAAAGTCAGCCGAAGTTGCACCGGACGCACACCCCGGGAAGCGCCCACAGAGCCCCATCCCCCCAGCAACGCTGTCCCTCTTGTCAGCTGGCCGATGGGGGCAGTGTGGCTGGGGAACACTAGGCACCCACCCTACAGTGCTGAATGTCTCTTCCTTTTTGTCTCCTAATCTTGGGGAATCTTTAAAGGGCACCCATTTGTCTTTAACAGAACACAGACGTCATGGACAAGGCTACATTGCAGGACCCCCAGGGCCATAGAGAAGGGCCACATGGTGGTGTCATGACTTCTAAAAGGGTCTTAACTTGATGGAGCTCCTGATGACAAAATGTTAATACTTTTATGTTTTAACTTCATTTTCCATAAAATTATTTGAAAGGCAGATGACAGAGGGAGGGAGAGACAGAGATGTCATGCGTCTGCTGGATCATTCCCCAAATGCCCGCCACAGCCAGGGCTGGCCTGGGCTGGAGCCAGGAAGCCCACCCAGGTCCACCCTAGGGGTGCAGGGGCCCGAGCCCTTGGGCTGTCCTCTGCTGCCTCCCCAGGTGCATGAGCAGGGAGCTGAGCCTCGAGCTCCTACTCCCATACGGCATGTGGGCGTCCTGTGTGGCAGCTCAACCTGCTGTCCCTCTGTGCTTTCCCAGGTCTCCCCTGGGCCACACGAGCTGTGCGGGCAAGGCTGTGAGGCCCCCGTCCACGCCTCGCCCCCTTAGCAGAGAGCACGGAGGGATGAGCAGAGGGCTCCGGGCGTCCGCTCCCTGCGGCCCACTCCACTGGCACTTACATCTCTCCACTAATGGTGACTTCCTAAAGGTCTCATTGCTCGTTCTTCAGCAATGGGTTCAATTTCACAATGTCACACAGTTAAATGCAGCTCAGAGCACACAGGGCCTGGGAATGTTCAGCACAAACTGGAGGAGAGCTGGGGCCCGGACAAACTGAGGTCTGCCACAGGAGCTTCCTGCCCCGAGTGGATCTGCACCCAGGTCGGCCAGGGGAGACACCTGCTGCGTATGAAGGACACAACAGCAGTTCTGCAAGTGGGTTCTAGTCATCTCTCCAGGGAGACTGCAACGGCCTCCTTGCCTCTGACTACTCGTGGAATCCTACTGTTCGGGGCCACTGCAGATCCGCGGGATCGGGAGCAGAGCAGGCTGTCCACACAGACCCAGCACCGGCCTTGCCTCAGCTGAGCAGTCAACATGGCCACAATGCGACTCAGCTACCTGGATGTGACCACTTCCCACAATGCCCTTTTCTGTCCTGGGACCCCACCAGGCCCATCTGGTCAGTTCCTGGCTCTTGCCTGCTCTTTTATGATCAGTGGCTTCATACAAAGACCCTCAGTTGAGGTCTGATGTCTCCTGATGCCTAGACAGCCAGGAAGGCCACTGCTGAGGGCATGCCTGCCCACAAAGGGTTCCACACCAACAGGCCACGTGTTCACTTTTCACAACCGTGAGGTCAAGGTGGCACCTGATGGGTGTGTGAGGGTACACTCGGTCCAGCCACCACTTGGGACGCCTGCATTGCCTATCGGAGCGCCTGGTTCTAGTCTCGGCTACTCCACCTCTGATCTAGCTTCTTGCTGATGCACATCTCGGGAGGCACAGATGATGGCCCTAGTATGTGCAGGGGCCCTACCACCCATGTGGGAGCCCCAGATGGAGCTCCAGGCTCCTGGCTTCCGCCTGGTCCAGCCCCAGCTGTGGGGGGCATTTGCGGAGTGAACCAGTGGACGGAAGACCTCCCTCCGTTTCTCTTAAAAAAAAAAAAAAAAAAAAGATGGTACCTACTGGGTGTCTGCACTTTCACTTGTTTGTCCCTCTGTAATTAACCGATTTCTTGAAGAAGATACTGTTGTTGTTTTTTTTAATATTTATTTATTTATATGAAAGTCTGAGTTACAGAGAGGAGAGGCAGAGAGAGAGAAAAACAGAGGTCTTCCATTCACTGGTTCACTCCCCAATTGGCCACAATGGCCAGAGCTGCGCCATCTGAAGCCAGGAGCCAAGAGCTTCTTCCAGGTCTCCCATGTGGTTGCAGGAGCCCAAGCACTTGGGCTATCTTCTACTGCTCTCCCAGGCCATAGCAGAGAGCTGGATTGGAAGTGGGGCAGCCAGGACTTGAACTGGCGCCCACACGGGATGCCGGCGCTGCAGGTGACAGCTTTACCCACTACACCACAGCGCCGGCCCCCAGAAGACACTTTCAGACAGCACGAACGTCCTGCTTCTTCAACACTCTGCCCACCAAGTGCAGACTCTCGCCAACAGCACTGCAGGGGCGGAGCTGGGCTGGCACCTTCCTGCCCCCTGGGTCCTTCACGTCCATCGCTGGGATTCTCCCCAAAGGGGCTTTCCCTCTGTGTGTCAGTACAGACTGGGTGGACAGTTCCTTTATTCTTTAGTTATAACATGATTGTTAGGTGTTTTGCTCAATTTCTGTCAATTCTGGCCACTGGGAGCTCGCTCAGGATGATTCCCGGTTCATCTTATGTAGGAGCCCCTGATTTCCTCGCCTCGCCAGGGCTCCAGACACATCCGGGGAGGGAGGAGATGGCCACCCTCTCCATCCCCAGCCTTTCACAGCAGCTGACCTGTTCCCCGCCCTGTGGGTTCATGGCTCCCAGCTCTCAGGTAAGCAGAATCAGGGAGCCCCTGAGCTGGCCTCTGCACAGCCAGGTGCACTTCTACCTCCCCCAGCTCCCTGGGGTACGTGTGCTGGAAGCCAACCCAATTCCCGCAGAAGGACACTGGCTGTTTCTGGTTTGCGGCAGTACGACAGGGATGCCATAAACATCTGTGGGCAGGCATCTGGTTAGCTTTGTGAGAAACGGCCATGCTGCGCTCTGTGTGACGTCTGCACCGGGTTTCTGCATGGCCGTGTTCTGGACGTGGGCCACTGAACAGGCATGTCGGGAGTGTCACCGTGGCTGCCGCTGCAGTCCCCTAAGGAAGAGGGTGTCTTCATACGCTTCCGTGACAGCTGCACGTCTCTGGTGCTGTCAGTTCAGAAGCTGGGTTGTTTTCCTGCTGGATTTGAGGGGTGCTCAGGCATCACGGAAACCAGTCCTACAGCTGCGGTGTGACCTGCAAATTTCTTCTCCCAGTGGCTGGCCTTCCAATGTCTTTGCAGCATTTTTCACAGAGCAAACCTTCAGAGACTGTTAACTCCCAATGGCCGCTTCCTGTCCTCACGGATCATGCCTTTGACCCCTGGTCCACCCAACCCAAGGCCACGCATGCTCCCTCCCGCGCCCTGCTCTACGAGGCCACGCGTGCTCCCTCCCGCGCCCTGCTCTACGAGGCCACATGTGCTCCCTCCCGCGCCCTGCTCTACGAGGCCACGCGTGCTCCCTCCCGCGCCCTGCTCTACGAGGCCACGCGTGCTCCCTCCCGCGTCCTGCTCTACGAGGCCACGCGTGCTCCCTCCCGCGCCCTGCTCTACGAGGCCACGCGTGCTCCCTCCCGCGCCCTGCTCTACAAGGCCACGCGTGCTCCCTCCCGCGTCCTGCTCTACAAGGCCACACGTGCTCCCTCCCGCGCCCTGCTCTACGAGGCCACGCGTGCTCCCTCCCGCGCCCTGCTCTACGAGGCCACGCGTGCTCCCTCCCGCGCCCTGCTCTACGAGGCCACGCGTGCTCCCTCCCGCGCCCTGCTCTACGAGGCCACGCGTGCTCCCTCCCGCGCCCTGCTCTACGAGGCCACGCGTGCTCCCTCCCGCGTCCTGCTCTACGAGGCCACGCGTGCTCCCTCCCGCGTCCTGCTCTACGAGGCCACGCGTGCTCCCTCCCGCGCCCTGCTCTACGAGGCCACGCGTGCTCCCTCCCGCGTCCTGCTCTACGAGGCCACACGTGCTCCCTCCTGCGCCCTGCTCTACGAGGCCACGTGTGCTCCTTCCCATGTTTGACTTGCTTTACAAGCTGACAGTTCTCCATGCAGGTTGATGACTGGTCTTTACAAGCGGTGAGGGCTGAGCTGCTGCTGCTGCTGCTGGGTGCCCCGTTGTAGGACCTCCCTGGAAAAGGCGGGGGCCCTGTGGCTCCTGTTCTGGGCTCCGTGTCCGCCTTTGACAACGACACACGTCACAGTTATTGTTTTACTCTAAGAAGTCTTGAAATTGGCAATGTGCTTTTCAACTTTGTTTTTTTCGAAACTGCTGTCAGTTCTAGTTCCCTTGCCTCCTTACGTAAGCTTTAGGATCAGCTTCTCACTGTTCAGCACCACCACGTCTCTCCGTCTGTTACCCGTTTGTGTCTTCAAGTTTCTCCATGAGCGCCCCCCACTTCCCAGCACACAGACTCTGCGTCTATCTTTCCTCAGAGGCATACTCAAGTATTTCACTCTTCCTGGTTATTGTGAGTGGTGTTTCACATCTTTTCGTATCCAATTATTCAGTGCTAGTGTATTGGATTAGAAGTGACTTGGACCTTTTTCCCCTTTTAATAAGGTTTTATTAAACCTTCTTGAACTTACCAGAGGAGGGTTTTGTTTTGTTTTGGTGGACTCCTTGTGGATTTTCTGTATGCACAATTATGTCACCTGCCGAGATATTTCTATCTCCTCCTAATTTCCAAGGCTTTAATTTCCATTTCTTGCCTTAATAACTGTTGTTTTTAAAGTTATACAGACACACATTTCAAAAGATAACATAATTTTGAGAACATTCTAGAGAAAACAGAAGATGCTACAGTAGTCCTGGAAGTCCGTGCCCACCAGTCCCAAGGCTGCGTGAATGATCTGACATCCCAGAGACGTGCTCTCTTCAAGCAGCAGAGCCACAGCCACTGCCTCTGTAACCACAGCACAGTCAAGCCTATGGACCGGAAACCAATTCCTGCCACGGTCTACGACACGCCAGGACCATGTGTGCTGCTGGCCAGGCCAGCCCGGAGCGCAGACACACAGTGCTGTAAGGCCAGGGAGACACCTGCAGCCAGGAGAGGTGAGTGTGTTGGCTCCGCCCCACGTGACTGAGCTCATCGTGGGCCGGGGACAGTGACTCAGAGCAGAAGCTGAGCTCCCGACGAGGAACGTCAACACAGCTGCCGACGCACAGCTTTCCGTGAGAAGAAGGAAATGCCGCTTCGGAAATGGATCACTCCCTCCTCGTCCTTCTGTCCAACACTGACCCGACACAGGCTGTGTGCAGGCGCGGTGTGTTAGAGTACTGAACAGTGGTGTGAGCTCAGGATGGCTGACCCCAGGCATGACGTCCACAAGGACTCGCGGACCACACAGACGCATGGCAAGACGCACACTGAAGACGGGACACTACATGCCACGTGCTCCCTGCCATTCAGAGCCTCCGGCACACAGCAGCAGTGCAGTTCTGACCACGTCCGTGCCGTGTGCTCTACCACGGCCAGTCACCACGAAGGCCATGGTTTCTTCTCCTGCCCAGAAGGCAGACTTGCTGAGAGCAGCTAAACTTCTGCCTTTACTCGCCTGGACAGAACCTTCCAGAGACAGATGAGGGTCTCGGCACCCGAGCCTGGGCTGAGCCTAGGCAGGACGCACAGGGCTGGGTCCCCAGGGCCTTGGCCCAGTGCTCAGCGGGACGGCAGAGCTTCACTCAGTGAAGACAACTCCACTCTATCAGCTTTAGAGTCTGAGTACGTCACAGCTCCTTTGTTTTCAAAGGGCCTGAAGCATGCTGGACTTTTTATAAAAGAGATACTAAAAAGGTACAAGGCATAGGGTTTGGGGTATTGAAGAGGAACTTAGAGAAAATGAGCTACTGAGTTCTTGTCAAAAAATTGAGAAACAGTGTCCCGCCCTCAGGCGGCTGAGTCTCCACCGTCACCCCTTCAACGGAGACAGCAACTCGGTGGCTCTGACGAGGGGCCGGGCCCGCCTGCCTTGCTGCCTCTGTGGCCACAAACACCTGCTCATTGCTACAGTAACTCAGACAGGCGGGAAGATGAGTACAACCTAAACCCTTAACCCCCACACCCACCGTCTGTGTCTGCCGTGTGGCTGCTGCTGCGCCAGCCCTAACACCTGCGTCCGTCCCCTGGGCCAGGACAGCTCGTCTGGTCTCACGTTCCTATAGGAGAACGGATCCCCCGCAGTGGCGATGCGGCCTTCGAGAGCGCTTGTCTCTGGATGTGAGGTGTGTGCGAGCTGTCACGACGGTGCCTCGCTTTGGGTGTCTGGTGCACTCTGCTTCACGCTATCACAATGGTTTAGCACCGAAGGCTATTAAACGGAAAAGCCTGTTTTCCTCTTGTAATACATGTAATGTATGGTGACTTCTCCTGGTAGTCATAGGATATTATCACCATGACAACAATGTTTATGTCTTATTTTATACTACAAGGTAAAACAGATTAAAAGGCAGTATGGCTTTCTGCATTTTCTCCAGGAACTTTGACATCTGTATTCCACCAGGCCCCGAAGTCATCGAGTGGTGACTGTCAGGGGACTTCAACGCCTGAGCCCTCTCTTCCCGGTGCCACACTGGGCGGCTCTGGGCATGGAGCCGACACCCTCCGAGCAGCAGGCGTGACCCTAACTGCAGCGGAGGTGGTGGGGTTTGTGCTCCGAGTGGGCTCGGGAACGCTGGCCTGTGCGAAGTCCCACAGTCTGCCTCTGGACACATGACCTCTCGTCCGCTTGTGGTCTTGTACTTCCTGTCCCAAAATAGGCTTCCATAGAGACGGTGATAAACCAAGGCCTCCTTCAGGAACACTTCAGTCTTCAGAGTTTCATGCTGACCGACTGAATCTTCTGCAGGTCTGGGTTCATGGGACTCCCTGGGGCAGGTGTTCTCAGGGCTCTCAGGAACAGAAATGCACTGTCCACTGAGCGAAGACCCCGGCAGTGGGTCCTCAGGTCCTGCTGCGGGGCGTGCTGGGCATGCAGCCCAGGCACCAGGGGTCCCTCTACGTAGTTCACTGAAGCCCACCGACGCCTGCAGCCCACTTTATTCTGATCTGAGCACAGCACCAGGGCGTCACTGCTGGCGCTAGAGAGCCGTTTTTCTCCCGGGGGGAAGGCCCTTTAGAAATTTAACGCGAAAGGAAATCGCCAAAAGTAATGAGGATAAACAGAAAGCATCTGGATGCAGACAATAATTGTCCAAAAACCCACCAAAGCCCAGCACGCGCAGGGTGCTCCCCGCCGGCGGCTGTGGCAGAACACGGCGCCTGCTGGGTGCCTACCTTGGTGAGGTCCTTGTACAGCTCCGGGTACAGCATGGCCATTTCCGGCTTCACGTCCTGGTCCAGCACCAAGGAGAACACGGGGAACATGGTGTACACAGTGGCGTACCTTACAGACCAGGCAGAAAGTACGTGAGTCAGCAGCGCACAGCGAGGGTGACGCCCCTCCAGAAGTGCAGGTCAGAGCGTCAGAACCAGAGCAGAACGGAACCGCTGTCAATCGAGCACGGCCTCCCTCGAAGCCAGCACGCCGGGGCCTCCACAGGACAGACCCTGCACCGCACCCACGAGCCCCTCTACAGCCTGCTCCATGGATGTGTCCCACGGCCCAGCAACAGAGAAGCACAAACACTCCCAGGTGAAAACGTTTTTGAAGACTCACACAGAACGAGGCCCTGGCCCCTGCCCCAGTCCTGAGGGACGCACCCTGCAGCCTCTCAGGGCACCCGAGCCCCTGTCCCTTTGCTCCCTCCCACCTGCACTCTTTCTCTGCCATCTTGAGTCAGCCACCTGTACCTTTCGGGGCAGGCTGCTTCCACCCTGTTCTGCTGTCCTCCCGCAGGGGCCGCTCTGTGGGGCTGGGAAACTGCGGCCTGCTGGGCCATGTGTTCACCCTGACGGACATCTGGGCTGCCCGCGGGTTTTAGTTATTTCAAATAAAACTGCTGCGGAGCATGCACTGCCCATATTTTTGGGTGAACACAAGTATTCATTTCCTTTGCATAGTAGTGCCAACCGGGACGACACCCGGGTTATGACTGCCGGCTGACACGGGAGAGACGCGTCAGCACCGGTGACGGTGGAGCCCCTGCTCGGCACCTGGCAGACTGCTCCCGTGCCACACCTCAGCTCTGTCCTCGGGTCCCACCGCCTGCCACCCCAGCACCAGGGGACAGTGAAGGCAGGACATGGGCGGATGTGCACGGGTCTCAGGGGAGTCCTCCCTAGGCGGTGGAGATGGCTGTGGAGGAGTGGCCACGGAGACACCGGCTGTCTTGTCCTCTGCTTCGCTGAGTCCCTCCAGGGTCGCCTCCCGTCCACTGCACTCTGTTTCCTCCACTCCTGCCGGCTCTGCTCCAGTCCGAGTGCGCCCCACCCGTGTCCTGTGCATCCCACGTGGCTGCCTGAGGACTTCCATCAGAGGACGCCACCCCTGCCCTAGGGCGGCCTCGGAGGCCTGTCCTTTGCTTCCACGTGTAGAGCTCCCTGGCTCTTGGCTCGCTGGGATTTCTGGGTTGAACCTGGCGCATTCTGAGCACTGCGTCCACACCTCTCGCTCCACTGCTGCTGCAGCGGGAAGGTGGGCTCATGCTGCCGGGCGCTCCTTGTTGGTGCTGCCTACTCGCCATCGACCACCCCAGGGTGCCAGGGCTTCTCCTGTCTCATCAGGTGGGAGTCTGGGCTCCTGAGGAGGTGAGGAGGTTGGCTGTAGCAGAGCACTCGCTGCTCAAACGCTGTTGGCTGAGGCCTGGGATTGTGCTGGGATCACGCCTGCCGGTGTTCCCAGGTCGCTGGCTCCAGGAGCTGAGTGTGCCAGAGCCCAGCAGGCTCCTGGTGGCCCTGGCGATGCTGCTTCCCCCTGCCCTCTGCAGCTCACTCTGTGTGCAGTGTGCCCCCTAGAGGACCAGGGAGAAGCACATCCATGCCTTCTTCCTAGAAGTGCAACTGGGCTTTAAAAATCTCATTTTCACGCACCCAGTGCAGAGAACCAGGACAGATCAACCGTGACGTCGGGTTGTCCTCCAGCCCTGGGACACCTGGAAACCAAAGGCCACACTGCAGTGGAGAAGTCCACGGTCACAATGTAGACACTCTCTACTTCGTGTCAGTGTAACTCCTGCAGGGTTATTACTGGCCAGAAATCTTAAACGAAACATGTTTGCTTCTGAGTGCTTTATAAATTCAGCCTTTATCTTCTTCATTAGGTTAAACTTATATAAAACTTTCAAAGTTTCCTCCAAATCTTTAGTTGCTTTTTTTCTCCCTGAGAATTTAGGAACTTAACAAGGCCAAGCAATTCAAGAAGTACCCAGCTACTGGGAAGTCAGCAAGGCCATCCCTCGTGACGCTGCTGGAGCCTTGCGCCCCACGGGAGGGCACCCACTCACCCGGCTGGTCACTCGAGGTCACCAGGAGGGATCACGTGGCACCACTGTTCTGCAGAATGCAGAACTCTCTTTATCTGTGCAAGAAATCCCTCCAGGTTTTCGGGCTCCGAGAAACACGGCTGCACGAAGACAGCCTCCAGGGTGCAGCCTGCTGAGCTCTGCCAAATGCTCTGTGGCCTCCTGCAGCACCAGGACACAGAGTGCCGCCGTCGCCCAGAAGGCCCCGTGGGGCTCCGCGGTCTCTCCTACTGCTACTGGGACCATATAAATGGGGTCCCATAGCACGAACTCCAGACGCCCGGCTCTCGGGGCGTGGGGTTTCCAAGTGGCATTTTGCAGTAGATGTAAGCAGCTTGCTCTTTGTCCACTCACTGGTGGTCATTTGGGTTTTCCTAGTTTTTGGTTATCAGAAACACAGCTACGACACTGATGTACGGCTCTGTACAGATGTCAGTGTCTTCACATCCGGGTAAACACTGGATCCAGGCTGGTTTCTGAAGAATTCCAGCACTCGGCACTCCTGCAGCAGCACAGAGCCAGGCTCCACACTGTTGCTGTGGATTCGTTCTGAGAGAAGGAGCGTAGTGGGGGTAAGAAGCACAGAGTGACCACATAGACCCTGGAGTTGGGGGAAAGTGGGCCTGAGGTGAGCAGCCTGCAGACTCTTTTATTTCAGTTGGTACAGCAGCTTATATAGCCAAGGCAGCCAATCCGGTCAAGGGGCGGTTTATGCCGTAACCCATCACTGCTTGTTGCCAGGCAGGCTCCGTTGCCAGGTGGGTTCCGAAGCCATTCCTGAGTAACTGACGCTTGCCAGCGGCCATCTTGGTATGGCCTTCTCATTCCACCACATTTCCCCCTTTTTGTTTGTTTTTGAGCAAAGGGAGGCAGGATCCTTGGCCACACCTGCCTGGCAACACACACCCCACCAACACCTGCACACTGGCAGTGTGGCTTCTGCAGTGGCCTGCAGCTGCGTCACGCTGACATCTCCTGATGACTGATGACATCGTACTCTCTAGCCATCCGCTTATCTTCTGCGTGATGTGTTCAGACTTTTAACCTTTTAAAAAAAATTGAGCTGTCTTATCACTGACTTGAAGGTCATTAAAATTTCCAGATAGAAGCGAAGCCTTTTGTCAGATATTTGCACTTTGAATATTACCTATCTGTATGCTTTTAAAATCATATACTGGGGCTGGTGCTGTGATGTAGCAGATAAAGCTTCTGCCTGCAGTACCAGTATCCCATGTGGACGCCGGTTCAAGACCTGGCTGCTCCACTTCTAATCCATCTCTCTTTATGGCCTGGGAAAGCAGTGGAGGATGGCCCAAGTCCTTGGGTTCCTGCACTCATGTGGGAGACCTGGAAGAAGCTCCTGGCTCCTGGTTTTGGATGGGCACAGCTTTGGCAATTGCAGCCAATTGGGGAGTGAACCAGTGGATGCAGGACCTCTCTCTCTCTCTCTCTCTCTCTCTGCCTCTGCCTCTGCCTCTCTGTAACTCTGCCTTTCAAATCAATCAATCTTTAAAAAATCGTATTTGTTTATTTGGGAGGCAGAGAGACAGACAGGAAGAGAGAACTTCCAACCACTGGTTCACTTGTAGGGCTTGGCCAGGGTGGATGCCAGGAGTCAGGAGCTCAATCCAGGTCTCCCACATGGTTGGCAGGGAGCTGCTACCAGAGCCATCACCGGTTGCCTGGGACTTGAACCCAGGCACCCTGAACGTGGGCATCCTACGTGGCAGCCTGGCCACTGTGCCAATTGCCGGTCGCTGGTCTTTAGGACAAAATCTTTAATTCTGATGAAGTTCACGTTGCCAATTTTTCTTTCATCTTTCATGCTTTCGGTGCCTAAGAAACCTTGTCTTCCCAGGGCTCCCGGATCTCTGCTGTTTCTGCCAGCAGTTCTAGAATCACTTCTCTTCTCTGAGGCATCGCATCCTTGCAGCCGCGGCCACTCATTCCCACACTGGATCACATTCTCCAGCTGAGTGGGCTGGAAGTCTACAGCCGTCCCCTCTGCTCCACGCACACTGGAAGCAGGAGCCCCCACAGCTCTGTTCAGCTGTGGAGCTCAGGCCTCCCGTAGGCCACAAGGGGGCTGGCATTCTGAAGCCACCCATCTCCATGGGCTCCAGGAAGAAACCATCTAGCAATGCTAACTCACAGTCACGGGCTCCTTGTGTCACTAGCAAGGATATACGGCCTGCACACACCAGGGCAGCTGTTGCCGTGGCCATGATTCGTGTCTCCCAGCGACATCACCTGCACAGCCTCCAACTGCCTGAGATGGGTGATTCCCAAGCACACTGGACAGGGTGTGAGCTACGGCAGGTGGAGCCCTAGTGTGTTATGTAGTGTGGCCATGGCATGTGGCCCCTGACTGAGGCATGAGCCAGAGAGTGTGGCCCCTGACTGAGGTGTGACCACGGCGTGTGGCCCGACTGAGGTGTGAGCCAGGGAGTGTGGCCCCTGACTGAGGTGTGAGCCACAGTGTGTGGTCCCTGACTGAGGTGTGACCATGGCATGTGGCCCCTGACTGAGGTGTGACCACGGTGTGTGGTCCCTGACTGAGGTGTGACTATGGCGTGTGGTCCCTGACTGAGGTGTGACCACAGCGTGTGGTCCCTGACTGAGGTGTGACAATAGCGTGTGGCCCCTGACTGAGGCATGACCATGGTGTGTGGCCCCTGACTGAGGCGTGACCACGGTGTGTGGTCCCTGACTGATGTGTGAGTCATGGCGTGTGGTCCCTGACTGAGGTGTAACCACGGCAGGCAGTCCTTGAACATGTCACATGGGACATGAGCAGTGGCAGGAAGTCCCTGAGCTTTCATGAACTGCAGCTCTGACACAGTTCCTGAAAACAAAACCTTGTGAGAAACCTAAC